AAGATCAGAGAAGATTTCGATTACTGTATACGCACCCGTTAACATTCGCTTCTTTCTTGAATTAGCCATCAAGATGTTGGGTAAACTATTAATGGCACATTAACCATTATTAGAACTAAAGTTTGAAGTGGATTAAGCAAAATGAATTGAGTAGACGAATGAGATGTGAAAATACAATTGCGCACTTTAAAGCTCGATCAACTCACCTCATATATCGATGCATCATTCATATACGGTTCAACTGAATGCGATTCGAATCGTTTACGTTTGTTCAGTCAAGGACGACTCAATTTCACTGATCTCGGCTTCAATAAAGAAGCACTTCCTCAAGGTACACAAGAACGAGACTGCAGGTAAGATGAGACGCTTGCTAGGACAGCCATCCGTTCGAAACGTTTTTTAAATTGCTTTTTTCGTCTGGAAATGATTTCAAAGTTGAGTTCGGAGAATATAAACGATCAAATTTATCAACACGAGTGATCACATTCAACGATTGAAAAGTGTATCAGTTTCAATTGAACACTCGCAAATATACTGGGATCGACTATTCGTAGAAGCATTTCATGATAAATGAGAATAGAAAATGGTATAGAAATGTTAAGGTCTCGACCAAGACATCCGTGTTTCAATGCTGGTGATGAGAGAAGCAATGAACAGCCCGGTTTAACGGTGATGCATACGTTGTTCCTTCGAGAGCACAATCGCATCGCAACTATTCTCAATCGAATCAACAACTTTTGGCCTGATGAAACCATTTATTCGGTAAGATATCAAATATGTCTTAGATCTTCATCTCATCCCTAGCCGCACGTATGATACCTTGTTTGAAAATCCCGATTTTGTGGTTCAGCAGATTTTCATTAACTATAAGTTTTTAAATGACAGTTGTTAGTATTGATATTCATCGAGCACTTATTTAATATGGGTATTCTCGTTGTTTCATTACGGCTGTTCAGTGATAAGACCGATGACTTATTTCGAGATATGCACTATTTGATAGATTCCCTCCTTATATTTTCGAAAATTCACTGACATTGCAACTCTACGGAGATATCCGAGCAAAAATTCGCTGAGGTGGTGGTTATAAGCTGAGATTGTGGCTCTCGAAATTGCATCTCAAAAAGCATTTTGAAGGAAACACGTCGAATAATGGGCGCAAAAGTACAACATATTGTTTATAATGAATGGTTACCAGTGGTTTTGGGCTGCGAAACAGCAGCCAAGTATGATTTAGTGCCTCGCAAAATTGGATATTTCACAGGTAGGTACACATTCAGTTCGCTCTATCAGTTTAGTTAAAGTGCAAAAGCGGATCAATCGCACAGCTATTGTTGAGTTTGTAATTGGATTTTTTGATGTCCGTACAAAGTTCACTGAAGGAAAATGTGTTTCGTGATTGGAATGGAGCTAGGTGATTGCTCTGAATTGCACTTCAAATCCAATGTATTTTGAACAGGTTACGATGAACATTGCGATGCAACAGTAACACAAGAACTGGCCACAGCAGCTTTCCGATTCGGACATTCGCTTATCAGAAATACATTCCCACGACTCGACGGAAATTACAAAGAGAGTGCTGATGCGATCGATCTCAAGGTCGGTTTCGTTGCGGTTCGAATCTTGACAGAAGCATTCGAGTGCTCATGAGTTTTATCACGTGTGATTTAATTGAAAATGCAACGCATTCGAAGAATTGTGTCCACCCGCAACTTTGACTCCATCTTTGTATTGGTTGCTGCTATCGATTGCTACCCACTAAGTCAGTTTCTAGTTATTAGTAAGATTCAGACATAATTGATTCGTAGACGATTGCAGTCAATGTTCAACAACGAATCGTTCTATTATCAGTCAGAATCCGGTCATATCGAATCCGTTCTGATGGGTCTTCTTGGTGTTCAAAGGTAACTGTTTAAGTCCAATAGAAATCAATTTCGATGATTTAGATTACATAAAATGACTTCGAACTCGGAAAGTCGAAGGCTTTTGTGGCTCAGCTTGACTGTTGCATCGATTCATTAATATTGACGCAGTAGCCACGAAGGATTATTGAATGAAACGTGTTTTGGATTTTTTTAAAAAATATTTCGAATCACATGAACAAGCTTACATGAGAATTGATTGTAGCATGGCGTTCGATCGACACATTGCAAGTGCTGTGCGAAATCATCTCTTCCAAAAGCCCGGTGGCCTATTCACCGGTCTCGATCTACCAGCGTTGAATATTCAACGAGCGAGAGATCACGGAGTCCCTCCGTATAATGCTTACCGGTACGTGTAACATGCTCATATCATTGCAGTGATCATTCCATTGCGACGGCGATTTCAGCGTTATGTTGATATTCATGTCGGATTGCATACAAGTGCTCCTGCTGTTAAATTATGTTAAATTATGACATGGAAATTAATTACTTTCAGCAATCATTAAAAAAGCCATAATGATGGGTTTAGTGCAACGTATAACTCATTCTTGGTGCATTCTTATATGGAAGTCATTTTTGTATTCATCTGCAAACCTAAGCTTGCTATAAATCTCATATAATAATGGGTCATTCCAAATTTTCGCTTAAATCTCTTAAATCATCGCCAATATGGTTGCAGAGAAATGTGTGGAATGAAGAAGGCACGTAGATTTGAAGACTTACAAGATATAATGGATGCATCAAGTATAAAGGCTATGAAAAGTGTTTATGACAGCGTTAACGATATCGATCTCTTTCCCGGACTTATGTCTGAAAAACCACTAAAAGGTAGCAGGAATTGTTATTCTCAAACGATTCCTATTGAATCCTTTATGAGAGATGGAAGCGAACGTGAACCTGATGCAGTCATTTTAATCGAAAGTGCAGCTGATCACTGTAATCAGCAATCTTTCCACAATAGCAATAGATAGATATAGCTAACTCTTGGATGATACAACAGTGAATTTCACTGTTGTATCATCCGATAGTGAATTATGCTCTGATTCATTGCTGAAAAGGCTTATTGTAAAATATTCCTTTGATGGCGAAATTTTGCATCTTAATAGTTTTCCGGAGGAAGATTCACACAACGATTTTGGTGGTGAAAAATCAAAGGGAAGATTGAAAAATTCGGAGTATCTCCGTTGATCATTATTTGACAATACTCAAGGAAAATTGTTTGAGGTGCATTGGTGGGCCCAATGGCTGCATGTATAATCGCTGAACAATTTCAACGCTTGAAAAAATGTGATCGATTCTACTATGAGAACGACAATCCTGCAACAAGATTCACTCCAGGTTCGAAACTGATTCAAAAAAAATTCTGTTAAATCATATATTTTGGGCAGGTTCAGTGATGGTTAGCAGCTAACCTCATCACTTTATCCTAAACTTTCCATTTCTCGCGCGGTTCTCGTTTTGTTAGGAACATCGCGCTCGTTTTTATGCACCTAAACTCGCACAATCCAATTCAATAAGAAATATCGATAAGAACCGAAATTTTTCGAACATCTACTGATTATTGATGTCGTTAGTGGATCCATTGAACAATCAACTTTGTAACTTCTTGGAAATTTGGTATTTCAAGTACAGTTAGCCTGATTCCGTTTATAATTTAATTTCTTCATTCATTCAAACGAGCAATAATTGTTGACATCAAATACAATTGCTACTAAGAAGATTTCTTTAACTTATGTTCTTCTTCAGCTCAGCTGTCTGAGATTCGTAAAACAACATTGAGTAAATTGATATGCTCAAATAGTCAGTATGCGAGAAGGATTCAACCGAACGCCTTCCTTATGCCCGATGATCTCACGTTCGTTTAATTCTTCTGTCTTTAGATTAGTGATGTCTCTGTTAGACAGTTTCAGCAAACAACTTTGTTCTGTTCAGCACCTTCAGTTATTTCACTCCGGTCTAAATTTCAGAAACGCTCCAGTGAAATGCTCCGAACTTCCCGATATTGACTTATACGAATGGCTTGATCGACGTGGGTATTTTCTTATGAAAATAAATTTTTCTAATAATGTCAGGAGTCGAATCATTTCAACGGAAACGATCGAATTCTAAAAAAATCAAATTCTTCACTCTTAAAGTTCAGCCAATCAGTTTGTCTTGTTCTTGTTTCTATAGCTAAAGTTAGATAGTGGGCAAGTAGTGTGGAGAATGAAACAAAATCAGCGACTTGATCATGATGGAAGCAAACAACTATCTGTTCGTTACAGCTAATTTCTGGACTGGATGAAGGCAGCAATGAAATCCACTGCTTCCAATAAATGACAAATGATTTTTTGCAGAATTTTGTGTGGTTGATCATCGCGTGATCAATCTTGGTAAAACGAAGCGCATCACACCGTGTATCACATGCACGTGTACGGCTGAAGGGGTTAGTTTATCGGATTATCGCACATCTATATGGTCCATTTCATGGAATAGAAAGTTTCTTTTGAATTTCACAAAGTGATATTCGCCGAGTATTTTGAATGATCAACATTAGGTTGAGTGATCAACACAAAATCAGCCTTTTTTTTCACGGAACCTTAGAGGAGCACGGTAAGTCGGAGTTTGGCGGAACTGATGCTTTTTGGGGTGAGCTGTACATGTGGGAATTCATTTACATTGTTGATATTATGTTGCGGCGGTTCTTGATTATTGCAAAAGTTAAGCTTATCGCGATTCGCCGAATTAGAGTCAAATATAGAGAATGAAATTTTTTCAGCCAGAATGTCATTCGATGACAATCGATCGATGCGAAACCCTACTGTCCGACTATTTATTCACTGAGATTGTAGCGGTTTGTTTTCGTATTCTTTCCAATCATCCAATATTTTCTTCTAAAATACACCAACTATCCATTAGTTCGCGAAAACATCAACTGTGTTCTTACTGAAATGGTCTTTACTTTCATCTTCCCGTTTGTTACGTGCGTTCTCGGAAATATTCCTCTCCCAAAATTTTTCAAACGGATCGATTGAAGCAGAAATTCTTTAAACGCAATTTTAGGATTTTGGAATTTATATCCAGAAATTTGATTTCATAGTCGAATAATGTTCAAATGTATCTTGCGCAGTTGAATGTCATCTATAGATGCATCATGTATATTTTTAATGAAGTTTTTTAACAGAGATGAAGCTTGTATCAATTTTTGATCATATTATAGGATACTGTATGCGTGATTCAGTGCTCTGCGATGATAAGGCAGCGCGGTGGTCGATTATGAGACATTTGTGAGGTGCCGAAAAAGTGTAAATGTGTGAAATGTGCAATAGTGTTGATTTTTCAATGACATTTGTTCACTGTTAACTTTTTTATTGTATGTCCATAGTTATTCTGGATTTATTTATTTATTTATTTGAGTGTCTTGTATCATATTTAGTGTTAACATAGAATTCTTTCTTTCTGTGGCCTTTACCGATGCGTTGCAAAAAGTCACTTGAGAATGGTAACGAATCCTCACGCTGAATCGACACAAGATGTTAATGCATAAATGATTCAGAGTGAATATTTGTTGAGAGTTGATCGATCTTGTGTGATCTTATAAAGTTCTCGGTAATATTTCTGTACGAAGGTTTTGTGCAGAAAACACGTTGTATAAAGAAGATTGCAACAAATATGTTCATATGACTGATGCAATTGGAGATTCATTTAATTCATTTCAGAGCCTTTCGTAGCGTTCTGCGCCCTGTAAGCGAACTTTCAGACTGTTTTTGAAACACGAATTCTGCTCAGTTTTCTCTTAGACGGCTGGTACCAGAACCAGCA